CACTCCTACCCTTGTCCTCCCCACTTCTATAACTCCCTTCCTCTAATTGTGTACTGCCTCCCATTCACCCAAGTGTTTGAAATCTACTTGACTTCTCCATTTGGAAATTCTGTAGTTACACTCTTGTCTTTTTTTTACTTTGGAATTGTCAACACTACAACTTGCAATCTCTGGTTGCCTATTTTTAGTCTTGTATTGTTTGTTTTGCTTTAGGTAGCTCTGTCGCTGGGTTAACTCCTGAGTGGTAGCGCCTTGTACACCAATTCTCAGGTTGTTGCCATTGTTGATTCTCAGTCCAAAATGGACTCCCTTTACGACTTCTTATAAGGTCAGTATTGTTTTCACAGATTCCTTTTGTATATCTAGAAATGTTCTAATTTTAATATTTGAGGGACTATTTTGCCAGGTATACAATTCTTGTTTGGCAAATTTTTCCCCCCAGAATTTTACGCCATTCCATTGCATTCTTGCCTGCATGGTTTCTGATAAATTAGAGCTTCTGTCTCACTGGTTCCCCTTTGTATTTGCTCTTCCAGCTATAGTGGTCAATCAACGACAGAGGTAGCAATTGAAGCATTGATTCCTGAAGTAGTTAACTATATGCAAAAGTATAAAGATCCCAAGATCACACTATAAAAACAAAAATAAATTCTAGTTAAATATAAGTTAAATGTTAACAAAATTAAAAACCTTTTAGTTGTAAAGGAGTATTACAATTCCTATGTAAACCCATAAAAATATGAGATTGTATAATTTAAAACTTCAAGACAAATCACAATGCATTTCCTCAATCAGCTAGTGGTTACAGAGGTCAGCCATATTGAATGTGGGAGGAGACTATCCAGGGTCTGAATACCAAAAGGCAATGGGCATTCATTCAGCTTGGAGGCCAGCTTAAAACCCAAATACACACACACACCAGTTACTGATTCCGACTCATGGTTCTCGAACAGAATAGAACTCTGCACCATTATGTTTACATGGCTGTGGTTCAAAGCAGAACAGACTTCTTCTGAGGTGCCTCTTGGAAGTCTAAATTATCATCCTTTGAGTAATCAGTTAACCACTTTGGCCACCCAGGGACACCTTGGAGGCTACCTACTACATACAAAAAACAGCATTTTATAAGGTTATGAAAATGCCTATGTATGTATATAAATTAAAAACTAAAACTTGATTATAAAGCAACTCTAGGGTAGTAGTTACCTACAGAGAGAAATTATATTAGGTCAATTATATGAGAAATTATAAGAGGTAACAAAAGAAGTGTCAAATGTATATATAGAGAGAGCCAGCCAGAGAAAAGATGGCCAATACTAAAACTTATTAAATCTGCATAGTGAAAATATATGTGTTCTTTAAATTACTCCCTTTTTCTATATGACTGAAATATTTTAATTAAAAACAATGAACCAGGAGAAAATGTATATAAGATTTGTTTGTAATAAGTTTATTTTTACACATTGAAAAGTTGCTATTTTCAAAATAGATGAGAAAAATACTTTTCTAATATTAAAGCAGGCATTTCTTTGGTATAGAAATCACATGTGTGATCTTTAAGTTAAAAAAAAATTAATCCATAGCTATGACCTAATATGCTAAATAAAATTATTCTTTGCATATCCATTTGCCCCCTTTCTTAGCCTCCTTATGGAACTTTAAAACATAGGTTTATACACATCTCTATAAACAAAAAAGGATCAAAGATGTCATAGGAATTATTTAGTACATAACTAACTGGCTTAATCACAAAACAAGCAAACAAAAGGAAAAACATAATATACAAGACAAGGAAAATAAAGCACTGCCACTAAGGGTACATACTATAAAAACAATCACACTTTAAATCACATGCACGGAAAACAAACTTCTTTAGAATTATAGCGTAAACAACTTGTGAAGCTCTCGGAGCAGGAGAACAAAGCCATAAATCGGATAAGGTACTTCAAAGATGGTAATCAAGTATCTAAAAGTACAACAGGAAATACTACCTGCAAAAGCAGTTAACCATAAAAAGAAAAAAAAATAACCTTCTTTCCAGCCATGTTCTGAAGTAAAGGCCTTTGAAGAAAAAGCATCGTAAAAGAACAGATAGATACTTTAAAAAACCAATAAAGTTCAATTATTGTTTGATTTTCAGTTTTCCACCAAATCAATAAAGTTCTGCTTCATATTATTTTCTCTAAGTATAAAAACAATTACAACTTCACGCTAAAAATGGGGAGAAAAATAGTTTTTCAATGCATTTGTGAACTGTTTTATTCAACATTTAGTGAATGTTGCATAATACTGTTCTATGTGCTAGGAATATGAAGGTGAATAAACCAGTTTGAAAAAAAACAATCAGTTATGTCCCACTTAAGTGCATAAAATAGAATTTTAGTCCTCCAATCCCTGCCATTCTTGAAATCTCCTTACAGAATGAATGATGCTTTACCTAGTTTCCTTTTGGTAGTACTGTGGCATTAATATTATTCATTTAGGGATGGAATTAATTTTTATAGAAAATGCTATGAAAGTTTAGGAGAGAAAAAATATTTAAGGGTAATCAAATATTGTTCAACATCAAAAATAATATCAGTACTCTACTTTCATAAGTGTTTAAAACCCAGAAAAAAAATTCAGAGTATACAAAAACATGTGCAGATATCATATATAAAACACAATCATTACTTAAACAACTAATTCATCGTGTCAAATCAGTTGTCAGGTTTCAGAGAATCGTAGCCTTCTTTCAAGAGGTTCCGCCATGTTTTAAGGAAACGTGCATTTTCTGTACATTTCACGGCAAGCTCTTCCACTTGTGCTGACACTGCAGATGTGGCTTCTAGAAGTTGGGTTAAAGAAAATGCTGCCTAAAATTGCAAACCGAGAGAAAGAAAATCAGAGAACCAAAGTTTATTTCTTAAATTATTTTCCCATTTTATAAGTTGTCTAAAAAATAGCTTTAGCTCTTGAATCCAATGCTTCGTAGTCTCTTTTAAAGTACACTCTTTTATATGAAAACAGGTTCTTTCAGGGAACCTGGGAGGTAATATGTAGTAAGCTCTAAGGAGTTATCCCTGGTGGGAAAATACTATGTATGGCGAAACAACACAAACAAAAAAGTCACTACCACAGAGTTGATGCCAACTCATAGCAACCCTGCAGAACAGGGTAGAAGTCCTCCAGTGGGTTTCTTTGACTCTCTTTATGGGAGTAGAAAGCCCTGTCTTTCTCCTGCGGTGCAGCTGGTGGTTTCAAACTGTTGACCTTTCAGTTGGCAGCCCAACGCATAACCTCTATGCCACCCGGGCTTTTATTGTGTATGAAGCATGGCAAAAATCAGTTTTGTTTTATTTTTAACTGAAAACACGTGCATCTCATTTAGCTCAACAAGAGTACTTAGACAAAGGGTTTCATCATAACTCTTACTGATACTATAGGAGCATTATTTTACCATGAACATGTTAGACCATGAAAATGGCATCAGAAAAGATTCTCTGACCTCTGACAAATACAACAAAATCACACGTGCGCGCGCGCATGCGCACACACACATATGAATACGGAAAATATGCAACTCTTAGCGGGCAACTCTCTTCTTAAGACAATGTTTCTTCAATTGGTATCACACTGTTCATGGACAAAATGTGAGCACTTAATTCTACATGTTCACTTGTAATTAATAACTAGTGTTGTTCCTGAAAATAAATATAAAAGTTGGATCGGCAACGTATAGTCCTGCCTTAAAGAAACCAAATACTGGTGTACTTCGTGAGCAATGAGATCATGAGTTAATTCCCCAATTTCCAACTCGTTCAGGAGGGTGTTCGCACAGTCTATTCCACAAAAGCTCTCAGGAAGGTTATACCAGCACGCTTTATTCCATTTGACCAATCACAGAGTCGGTAAATACACTGTGATTTCCTCCGGGGAGGGGATGATGGGTGATAGGGAGCGGACAAAGGATGGTGCCAGCAGTCTCCGGAGATTTCTACCAGCCAGGCTAATTGTGCAATTATAAGGAGGAATCCTTCACTAAATGGCACCATTCTAGGATAAAGCAGTCCTGGCTAACCTCTCCAAGCGGAATCCCACAAAGCCTGCCAACGGCAGACAAGAGCATCATCAGCTAACTCTGGGCAGGTCGCCAACCAGCACTTGGGCCTCTAAGCCCAGGGAAGAAAAATCTAAATAACACGGCAGCGAGGCTAACCGTCTGCAAAGAAGAAACTGATCGGTGCTGGGGGCGGAGCGTACAGAGTTGGCACCAGGCACTGCAAGAGAGCGACAGGGTTTTGAGTTACCAAGGATGATGGAAACCAGAAGGAAAAGCAAAGGCGTGGGAGGGCGGCGGGCGAACCCCTTCACCCCCTCCCGGGACGACTCGAGGGAATCCCCAGGTGGGAGACACCGGGAAGGTCAGTGCGCGGACGCCGGGCTCTGCTTCGAGAGGGGACACTCACGTCTCCAATCTGCAGCTCCACTTCCTCCAGCGGGTCCATCACACTGCAGCTGCTCCTCCGCGGGAGATGCCAAGCCAGACTCCCTGGAACGCCGGGGGAGGAAGACTCAGGGGTGTCTGAAGATGAGGGAGAGGAGGGAGGCGGCGGGGGGGGCGGAGACATCCGCATCTCTTCATGCTCCGCCATGGAGAAGAGCCGGGAATGCAAGACCTGACTGCAGCAACCGAACCAAGCACCAACCTTTCAACCGCTCGCGCTCGAAGCCCAGAAACCCCACCTCCTCCCCCGG